CTGGTCTTCCTCGGTGGTGTCCCATCCAAATACTAACCAGGCCCGACCCTGCTTAGCTTCTGAGATCAGACATCGGGCTTGTTCAGGGCGGCATGGCCATAGACCATAGACAAGGGCTTCACTGGGGTGTGAACCCAGGACCTTCTGTGTGTAAAGCAGACATGCTAAACGCTACGCTATGGAACCACGTCCCTAACTGATTAATTTAGAGCAAGTTCCCCTTAGCTTTTCTTACCCTCATTTCACTATCTACTAAAGAAACTAGTAACGTTTGTTCTTGAAGTACTTTGAGGCTTTGAGATAAAGTTTGCCCATAGGCCTGTTATATTTCTAGGGATAATTTTAAAGATGTAAATGACCTCTAGATAAACTGTATCACTTAGCTATTAAACTTTTTATGCTTCTAAGAAGCAGAAAGATGCTTTGTTAATGCTGAGGAGCTACAGGGCATGTCTCAGCTCACAGTTAGATCTTCCTGCCTCATAACATTTCCTTAGAAGGAATACAATTTACTCTTCTGAAAAACACAATAACTTTCCCAAGGTTATTGTTTGTGAATTGAGAATTGGTCTCTGCTTATACCCTCTGACAGTCCAAATTTTTGTTAGTCAACTAAGAGAGCCACGACTTCCTGATGCAGTATGTTGTACACTATTTGAATTTACTAGTGTCATACCTCATAAGAATCACCTTTTCAGGAATGGCACTTTGATAACAGCACTTTGATAATAACTGAAACCCAGAATCCTGAGATGGAATGAATTCTTAGAAATGAGTAATTCCTTTATTTTTCTCTGCACAACGAGTTTGAATAAAACATAGCAAATCTCTCTCTTGACACAGTCCTTTAAAGTTCATTTTTCTCAAGCAAGTCATTATTTTCTTCTATTTTAAGTAATGTCCCTGCATCACACAAAAGATACTGTTAGTATTTCTATATTCTACTACTTCTATTTTTCTTTTACCTCTTAAATTCAGTGATAACACTGAATATCTCACTTTTTAGATGGTACTTTTATTTATCTTTAGTGAAAACTTAACTCAATATAGAAATCATTATTTTTCCTGATAAAAAGAATAAAAAAGGAGGACATTAGTTTAGTGATTAACTATGGCATTAATTATTAATAAATCCATTTAAAATACTTATAATTCCCCTAAATGGAGGTAATTTTCACCAGATAATTTTAGATATTTCCTGTATTATGGCCCATTTGGGGTTAACCTAGGCAAGGAATTCTCAGCTCAGTACTGAGGAGCCTTTAAGAGGTATCAAGTGGCCTCTAAATGATTGCAAGCTGTTCCAAAATACACAGTTCTCACATTTACTCTTTTTGAGAAAATGACTTCCAGTGTGATCTTGATCATTTCTTATGTTTTTCATGCCTTCCTGAAAAGCTGCCTTTACATCTGGTAGCACTTTCCTTTAGCCTGAAAAATGTTCTTCAGTATTTCTTATAGTGTAAGTCTTTAGGTAACAAATTCTTGTGTTTACATTTGTCTGAAAATATATCTCATTTTCATTCTTGAACGATTTTTTTCTCTGAATATAGAACTCTGAATAAATTGATATTTTTATTCTTTTCTTGGACTTTAAAAATGGTGTTCCTCTAACTTCTGGCCTTTGTTGTTTCTGAAAAAAAAATTAAAGTATTCAAATTGTTGTTCCCCTGCATATAATGTGTGATTTTTTTTCTGGATGCTTTGAATATTTTTTCCTGGTTTTATTGAGATATGAATGACATATACCACTGTATAAGTTTAAGGTGTACAGCATAATTACTTTACTTACATATATTGTGAAATGAATATCACGATAAGTTTAAAGAGTTAAAGAGTCTCTGTGTTTAGTTTTCAGCAGTTTTACTGTGGTGGTTCTAGACACACTTTTTTTTCACATATATCCTGCTTGGGTTCACTGAGTTATTTGAATATGTATATTAATGTCTTTCATCAAATTTGAGAAACCTTCAACTATTTTTTCTTCAAAGATTTTGAATCATTTAATCTCTCCTTTTTCTGTGATGCCAGTTAGTTTCTCTCTACTCTTCAGATTGGATAAATTCTTATTGTGTTCTTTTTTTTAGTTCTGTTTATTCTGTTATCCCTATTCTACTGTTCAGCTCATCCAACTGCTTTTATTTCAGATATCTTCAGATAATGTATTTTTTTAGTTTTAGAATTTACATTTGGCTCTTTTAAAAGTTTCTATTTCTCTGCTAAGATTTCCTATCTTTTCAGTTATCATGAGCACCTTTTTTACATCATCAAGATAATTATAATAGCTGCTTTAATTCCTTGTCTGCTAAATGCCATATCTGGTTCATTTCAAGTTTAGTCTGTTGTCTTTTCTCTTGAAAATTGGTCATATCATCCTAATTCTTTGTATGTCTAGAAATTTGGAGCTTTTCCTACATATTGTGAATATTTTGCTTTTAAGTCTCTGGATTCTCTTATGTTCTTCCAAAAAATGTTGACTTTTTTTCCTTCGATTTAATGGTCAATTTACTCCATTATGTTTAAGCTAAAACTTCTTTCTCTTAAATAGCAGCTCAAATCTCAGTTCAGTTCTTTTAGCCTTAGCTGTGCTGTTTGCAGTCTGCCTTGTGCTCCAGGAGTCATGCAGAAATTTGAACCAATCTTATACACAGAATTTGAATATCTCCTCCCCCCCTCCTCTCTCTCTCTCTCATTTTTCAGTGGCTATGGTTGCCCTAAACTCATTTATTGATTTCTTTATAATATAAAGACTGAGTTTTCAATTAAAAATTTAGCCACCCCGTGAGGTGATAATTATGGTCTGCTCTCAGATTAAAAGGTCCTTAAAAATTGGGAAACCACACTCTTCTTCCAAGTGTCAGTTCCTCTTCAGAATATTTCTGCATTTGTTCATTCTCCAATGGCATCAAGTAGTTAGGGGTTTGGTTTAGTTCGATTTTGTGTTTTGTTCAAAAGTATAGTTTTTATCTATGGAAGGGGTGATCTGGTAAAAACTCACTCCTGACAGCTCATTTTTGCTGTAACTTTTAAACCTACAAATGTTCGATTAAGAGTTCTGTTGAGCAAGGCTGTAATGGAGAGGGAAGAGGATGGAAAGCAGTCAAATCAAAAGACTTGACACGGGAGGGTGAAAATGGCAGAAACCTTAAAGGAAAGCCCAGAAGTCCATGTAAGAGGTGAGAGACTTAACATGACCAACAGCACTTTCTTACATGGAAGAGATATAAGAATTCACCAATGACCAGAGTCTGGATATGGAAAGAAAGCGTTATGCAAGACAGAGTGTACAAAGTTCTATTGAGATGATTTCAGCCTCAACATGCTCCTTTGCCTTTACCTTAAGAGTATTCTGAAATTTTGTTATATGTCAGAAAATCTGCTTTGTCTTATCTCTACCTCTGTTCATTTTCTCAACATTGTCAAGGCTTTCCCACCTAAAAAGCGTACCTTTTAACTTTAGGAAATTCATAACATACATAATGAGGAATTAATGGGAATCAGAAGAGAAGAAGAAATGGAGATGTCTGATGATGAAATAGAAGAAACAACAGAAACAAAAGAAACTGAGGAATCAGGTAAAGATAATTCTGCTTTGATTTATTTAACATCTACTTGCAAGGATAACATTTTAAAATCATCAATATCCAGTAAGTTATGGGCACACATCTATCAGACTGAAACCATCTAGAAATAATTGGTGAGGTTATATACATATATATAACTATATATATATTCAAACTGATCTCCATTTAGTCTCTATCTTCCACCACAGTACCGAATTAAAACTGGACTTTCTCTTCCTAGGAGCACTGGACATTAGGAATCATTGTCCTATATTTTGTTTGGATTTTTTAATTTTTATCTTTTAATTAAGGTTGATATTCAATATTATTTTATATTAGTTTCAGGTGTACAGCATAATGGTTAGACATTTATATAATTTATGAAGTAATTCCTCAATTAGTCTAGTACCCACCTGACACTATACGTGGTTATGGATTTATTGATAATATGCTCTACAATAGAAATCAGAAGAGAGCTTATGCATAAATAGGCAACTAACCAAACTTTTAGGAAAAATAGTTAGATCCTTACATCTCTTATACCTTACACCAAAATTAATAACAGATGGATTTGAAATTCAAATGTAAAAAAAATGCATATAACAAAAGAAATTCTGGAAAATATAGGAGTTGGTTAAATAATTTGTGATGAGAATCTCCAAAGATAAAAATAACAAAATGTATTTTTGATAAATTTATCTGCATAAAAGTAATTATTTCTTTAAAAATTAAAATTTAAAAGAGAATCTACAAACTAAAGGGAAATATCTACAATATATGAGTCTATCTATTTTCTGCCTTCCATTGTGGTTACTTGGGGGTTTACTGGGAACCAAACAGGAGTCAATAAAGACTTGTCTGGGTAAAGGCTTTTGCTCTCACCTAATATGTTCAGGACTCACTGTGAGACAGAAGCCATGGTATGGGTCCCCAGTGGAGCTCATAAAGCAAACCTATTTAACGATATAGCACAGCACTCTTTGATTTCATAATAAACCATTTTGGAGGGGAGATGACCATGGGGGAGATTAAAATATCAGCCAAAAGACCAGTGTTTTCAGATAAATATTTCCAAACAATCTTAGGAGTCTGTAATGTACAGTGGACAAATCACTGGACTTAAAGTTAGAATACTTGAGTTTTAGTCCCAGCTCTGTTCTTCTTGACATAGGAAGGACTTCTTTCCCACTGAGCCTCAGCTTCCACACTTGTAAGAAGTATATTATAAAAAACTCTAAATGTGATTTTGTGATGGTTAAATGAATTCATTTATTCATTTAATAACTATTGCATGCCAAGTACTGTGCTAGACATTGAAGATATGGTAGTATACTGTCCCTACCATGTGTGTGCTTAGGGGTGTGTGTGTGTATGTGTGTGTGTGTGTGTGTGTGTGAGAGAGAGAGAGAGAGAGAGAGAGAGAGAGAGAGAGAGAGAGAGAGAAAGAGAGAGAGACTGAGACAGAGACAGAGACAGAGAGACAGAGTGAGACAAAGATACAGAGACAGACAGAGACAGAAACTAGAATGGTTATAATGAAAATCAGGATTTCTCAGTTCCAGTACTTACATATTGAATTCTAAGCTCTATAGCCACTTAAGTAGTCCTAGAATCTTCATTCCATAAACAGAAACTTGTAAAGAAAGAAAACTACCAAGTCAGACTTTCAGGTTTTTTTATTAATTTATTTATTTTAATTAGTTTCAAGTATATAGTACATTGGTTAGAAATTTATATAGTTTGTAAAATGATCCCCTCAATTGTTCCTTCCCTCCCTTCTCCAACTAGCCAACGTATTAATGCTAATTGCTTTCCTTATGCTGTGCTCCCCATCCCTGTAACCATTCATCAGCTAATCCTTCACCTCATTCTCCCAGCCCCCCAAACCCCATCCCTTCTATCCATCACCAAATTGTCCACTATATTCGTGAGTCTGTTTTTGATTAGTTTGTTTTTTTTATTCCTTAGATACTGCATATAAGTGAAATCATATAGGGTTCATCTCTCTCTGTCTGACTTAAATATCTCCTAGGTTCATCAAAGCAATATCTTATTCCATCTCCTTCCTTTTAGTCTACATGTGTCTTTTAATATGAAGTGAGTCTTTTGTATTTTTTCTTCTTAAAGAAGTCTCTCCATTTTTTCCTGTAATACTGGCTTGGTGGTGATCAATTCCGTTAACTTACTTTTGTCTGGGGAGCTCTTTATCTGTCCTTCAACTCTAAATGATAGCTATGCTGGATAAAGTATTCTTGGTTGCAGATCCTGGGTCTTTATCGCATTGAATATTTTGTGTCAAGCCCTTCTGTCCTACATAGTTTCTTTTTAGAAATCAGCTGCCAGTTTTATGGGTGCTCCCTAGTAGGTAATTAGTGCTTTTCTTTTGCTACTTTTAAGATTCTCTCTTTGTGTTTAACCTTTGGTATTTTAATGATGATGTGTCTTGGTGTGGGCCTCTTTGGGTTCCCGGTTTTGGAGATGCTCTAAGCTTTCTGAGGTTGCATGTTTATTTCCTTCACCAGGTTAGGGAAGTTTTCCATCATTATTTCTTCAAATATATATTCAACATCTTGTTCTCTCTCTTCAGGTACTTCTATGACATGGATATTTTTACCTTTAAAAGTGTCCCATGGGCTCCTTAAATTAGTATTATAGTCTTGGCTTCCTTTTTCTTGCCATTCTGATTGAGAGTCTTAGCTTCCCCATCCTCTATATAGGTCATTCGGTCCTCTTCTTTATTCACTTTGTTTATGCTATTTAATATACTTCTCATCTCAGATAATGTGTTCTTCATTTCAGATTGGTTCTCTTTTATAATTTCCATTTCTATTTTTATGTTTTTTATATTGTTGTTGAAGTTCTCACTGAACTCATCTACACTTCCCTTAAGTTCATTGAGAATCTTTATAACCAGTGTTTTGAACTCTGCATCTGTTAGATTGCTTGATTCTATTATTTCTGGATCTCCATTCTGTTCTCTCATATGGTTTCTGCTTCTTTGTCTTTCCATTTTGGCTGCCTTTCTGTGTCTGTTTCTATGTACTAAGCAAAGCTCCTAAGTCTTCCAGTCTTATTAGTGTGGATTTGTGAAGAAGGTGACTAGTGGCACAATCCTGAGAGAGGTTCAGCTGCAGGCCAAATTTAGCCCTAGCCTGTGCCCCTCTGGGGCCACCTGTTAAGATTCAGCAAGCAATCCACGGATTCTATGGTTATAGGTGCCTCAAAAGGCCATTCCAGAAACCAAGGCCAGCAGCCTCCAGTGTGAGTCTAAGTGCTGTTCAGCAAGGAGCACCTGACTTACTGAGGACACACCTGGATGTGGCTTGGGTGGGGCTGTGAGTTGGGGGAGACTGGGTTTCAAGGAATTTTCTGGGCAGAGTGACCGCTATTATCCAATTTGTTGATGACACAGCTATAGCGGTGCTGTGTCTGTGTACTGGAAGAGGGGAGGGCTCAACAGGGAATAATGAATACCACTGGCACTTCTGTACAGAGTTAGTCTTGCCTCGCCCCTCACTCCAACAATGTCTCCCTGTAAGTCCCTGGTGTCCCCTGCACACAGCCCAATCAGTACTGGTGCTCAGAGCAAGCAGGTCCATGTCCGTGAAAATCAGCTTGCAGATTCGGCCCCTTTCTGCTGCTGCCAGTGCCGCAGCCTTTGTCTCACTCAACCGCTCGAGACCAGGCAGCCCAGCGTCCTCGCCCAGTTCTACCTTCTGCTGTTGCAGGGTGCTTTCTTGGATTTCTCCCTAGTTGTATGGCTTGTTCATCTAGATCCTAGGAGTTTTCCTTGCTGCTGCTCCTTGTTTCTGTCACAACTTTGATTTGGTCGCCAGAGAGGTGAACAGAGCCTCTATCATCTACATCATTTTTTTCCCTATCCCAGTTAAACTTTTTAAAAGGCATTTGTTAGCTGCTACATCTGAATTTCATATATTTATGCCATATGTTAGATTCCTAAACATTCAAACCTACATATATATGAATAAACCCTTTGAAATCAGTGAATAGTTGGTATTTTCAGAAAAGTGAACTAATTACTACAACCACATTCTATAAACTTATAACCAAAATAAATAAAAGTTTAATAATAATTGAGCTATTAAAATTATTTAAGTGCTTAGCCAGAATGTTTTGTAAATGATTAGTCTTTGACTTGTAAGATTATCTCCACCTCAGAATCTGCAGTATTGTTTACAATGTTAATCCAGTATTACCTTGAAATGAATGCAACCATAAGTTTGAGCACCACTTGATAAATCTCTGAGTTTGAGTAGTTAATGGAGGAGGAAAGCTGTATAGGAGATTCAGATTGAATGCACTTACTAGCGTTATATAATTGCATTTTGTTTCCTTATTTCTTTTGAGTTTAAAGTTGTATTGGCTACTGCACAGAATCTTACTCACTTAGAGACTAGAAATCCCCTGATATATCATCTTATAGCTATTTTCTTTCCTGTTCCACATGTCAGGATGCTGCTTGGTCAAAAAAAGCTATCTACAATAGAGTTAATGGAGCTTACCAAATAGCTTTTCTCCTAGAAGGTTTCAATTCATTTTATTTCAAGGACTTTTGTGCATTTTTCTTCCCCTAGATTATATCTAATTTTGTTATCTCACTTCTGTAGTACTCAACTGCAGAAATCTTGCTCATTGTGAGCCAGTAAGCAGGTGCTCAGTTTTTATCAAAATCAGCTACATGTTTTAGTTATCACTTGGTTCCAATTAAAAGCTTAAGAAACTAGATCTCAATGTTGATGTTCTTCCTGTGAGATAAGAGAAGTGAGGCTAAAAGTATACATGCAGCTCATGATTCTCTATATAGCAAGAGATCAGTCATCCATTAATTAGAAAAATGATTCAGAAATGAGACCATGAGGAGCGAGCATATCTGGAATAAATATTCTAGGAGTATTTGCATGGAAGTACAGAAGGAAGAAATCAGTGAGAGGTGAGAGACCCATCAGCAAGGACCAACATGAGTCTGTATTGACTAGGAATGCCATCTCTGTAACTTCCTATAACAGTCTTCTGCAGCCCAGGATAAGGAGCAAAGAAAGTTGAGTCAAGTGACCATCAGTTAAGGATTGGCATGATAAGCCTGGCCAAAGGTTTTCAGGAGGATGAAGGAATACAGGGAACTTAACAATCTACAGTGGACTCTGTTTAGTAAGATAGCAGTTAATGGACTGGGTGAAGTTGGCCACTCCAAGAAATTAAAGGTTCCAGAAGGAAAGAGAGCAGAGTCTCAGGGTGATGAGGGCTGGTGAAATAACTCAAATGAGGATATTGTGTTTGAGAGAGGAATTTAGAGATCTCAGAGGAGAAACAGTGAGGTGCATGTATGCTGCTACAGCCTTATTTGGAGTAATGACCTGCAGAGGAAAGAAAAGCAAGGCATTGTAAAGTCAGGGAACTCACTTGAGATTTTGCCTGAACTGGCCTGCAACCTCTCCCAATGGATTATGCTCAAATCATCTCTCTCTCTTTCTTCTCACTCTTTGTTCTTTTTCACAATTCTCATAGTGAATCATTCCAGCTCAAAATTTTAATGAACCTTGAAAGAAATGTTAAACATTTTTCTTCTATAATTTGGAAACATTTTTTAGCATCTTCCTTCTAAAATTTGGTAACTTTTTTTAGCATCTCTTGTAATGTGGTTTTGTAAGGGTGGCCGACTCACTGGATTCACTCCCATTAAATATTTTTGTTTCTTTTTTTGTACTATTAAAGAAACAGGCATTAATTTTTTAATGGCACAAAATCCCTTTAGATCTTTTGTTACAGAAAAACATGTCTGAGATTTTTCTCTGACTGACTCCTCTAAAAAAGGTGTTCACAGCTGCCTTCATACTTTTATATTGCCATGATGAACTGGCAGCCTTCAAATCTGAGAAGCAATCCTCTTAAGGAGAATATTTTTCCCACATAAGAAATAATCAAAAAGGAGAAACCAAGAACTAATGATGACAGGATATGATTAAATTCTATGTACTATACTCTTTAGTATCAGGACTGATGGATTCACCTACTCAAACATATTATTAAAAGGTAATATTGAACTTTTCAATGTTCTAGCAATGTACAAAGATCTCCAGCTTCAGAAATAGGCTCGATTAGTATTAAGTCTGTAAAACTAAAGACTTGGTGTCCTCATTAAAATGACAAAAAAAACTCTCATTTCAGAGAGCAGGAAATACATTTTGTAAGTTAGGTCCCCTCATAGCATTATAGGAGATTACATTTTCTTTTGCTTAGTGACAGTTCCAAACTGAGGAGATTATTATCTCCTCCTACTTGGCTGCAGGTATCCATCTCTGTTCATTTTTTTTTTCTCATTTTCTCAGAGGGAAAATATTTTCACATTTAAACTGAAGAATATCCCTCTAACCATTCTCCTAGATCTTTTCCTTTCCATGTTTCTCCACATGACTTCTAGGATTTGAGCACAATTACTGGCCTGCTTTGCAAGAAGAAACAAAAAGAGGAAGATGAAATATCACTATTTTCTGTTGAGCCACGTGGCTTGCCAGAGGAAAAACATGCAAACCAAAGCAGAAATAAATAACTGTCCATCTGCAGCAGTCACTTGATCTACAGAGTAACCTCTGTGCTATTCAGCTAAACTCTAGCTCAAGATTATTGAGCTAGATTCTATCCTCGGTACTGACCCAGCAAGCAAATTAAATATTTTAGTTATCTGTATGGCAGATAGTTAATGTCCCTCTTTATATAAACTTTCCTCTATACACTCATCTTCACTTTTAGTGTCTTCTTTTGGTGTTGTGATGATTAAGAACATGCCTGTCTGTTGATAAGTATCCCAGCTGCTGGGAGAGACAGCAAGGATAGCTATTATTTAGAGTGCTAAGAATTCAAGTCTCTGACAGCTTTCTCGTCAAAGATACAGTATCTGCATAATTAGAACAGGAATTAAAATCAGTAATAAAACCAACATAAAATGAATGTGTCATGCCAATAGTCTTTAGTAATTTTTTTCAATGTAAGGGTTAAAACTACCATATCAGGATAATTGCATGGTCATACACAGAACACAAATGTGGGCACTGAGAGCATGTTTCAACACTACCAGAAAATATTTCTCACCAGAACCCTCTGGTTAAAGGCATTGACTTAAATCTAGCACCTCCCTAGAGGCAACTTCCTTTTTAAGAATAGGAAATGTTTTACCTTCAGGATATGGTTTCTTCTATATATTTGTAAATCAAACCTTCTTTCTATTCATTATGTAGAAGATGAATCTTGTCTTTGAAATCCCTTTATAAGTCTCCCTTTAGATTATTATAACTAAATTATTTAGATTATTATAACTAATAATCTTGAAGATTTTATTTCCATTACTTTCTTCTACCCAAAGTCCCTCCTCATAGGTAGCTGACAAAATTCACAAAATTTACACCTTTAATATTCTTATACATTTAGTTGCAGATTTTTAATTTTAAGCCATTTTGATAATGTCTCTTTTCTGGGCTTTATGCTCTGTTAAGAATCAAAAAAGAAATAAACTTTAAATGTTTCCGTTAATTTGGAATATAAACAATAAAGATTAGCAGAATCTCTTTTTTTACCATAGTCATAAGCCTGAAACTCAATAAATGTTTGTTGAAAGAAAATCTTAGAATAGCTTTTATAATTTTTGACCTTGAAAAATGTGCCATAACCATAAATAATTAAATTTAACCTAGATTTTCCTATGTGCATTAGTTTTTTAAATTAATAAACTTTAATTTTTAAAGCTGTTTTAGGTTCACAACAAATCTGAACAGAAAGTACAGAGAGTTCCCAAATACTCCCTGCTCACCATCTCTCCCATTAACATCCCACACCACAGGGATACATTTGTTGCAATAAATAAATACATTATCATCACCCAAAGTCCATAGTTTGCATTAGAGTTTACTCTTGGAGTTGTACAGTCTATGTGTTTGGACAAATATTCAAAATGTATGTATCCATCATTACAGTATCATACAGAATAGTTTCACTGTCCTAAAAATTCGCTGTGTTCTTATTATTCACTCTTCCCTCTCCATCTAATCCCTGGAAACCACTGATCTTTTTTACCGTATCCATAGTTTTGTCTTTTCCAGAATGTCATATAGTCAAAATTATATACCATGTAGCTTTTTCAATTGGTTTCTTTCACTTCGTAATATGCATTTATTTTTCCTTTAGGTCTTTTCATGGTTTGATAGCTCACTCCTTTTTAGCACTGAGTAATATTCCATTGTCTGGATGTACCACAATTTGTTTATCCATTAACCTAATAAAGTTTTAGCAATCGTGAATAAAGCTGCTTTAAAATCCATGTGTAGGTTTTTGTGGAGACATGTTTTCAGTTCACCTGGGTAAAAACCAAGGAGAATTATTGCTTGATCCTATGGTATGAGTATGTATAATTTTATAAGGAATTGCCAAACTGTCTTCCAAAGTTGCTACACCATTTCGAAGTCCCATCAACAGTGAAGGGTGATTCTTGTTTGTTCCACATTCCTGCCAGCACTTAGTATTGTCTTTGTTTTGGATTTTGGCAATTCTAATAGGAGTATAATGATATCACATTGTTGTTTAAATTTGTGATTTATAATTCACTAATAACATATGGTGACATATGATGATGCTTCCTTGTCATTGGCATATCTGTTCAGGTCTAATTTTTTTGATATTTATCTTGTAGATATTCTCTGAGTTTCCTGGGTCTGTGATTTGGTGTCTGACATTAACTTCAGGAAATTTTCAGTCATTATTGCTTCCTTTCTCTCTTTCTTTCTCTTTTGATAGTCTCATTACATGCAGGTACATTTTTTGAAGAACAGAGTGCTCTGGCATTTTTCAAAGTGATTCCTTCCCCTCAGCCCTGCGGGAAGTACAAGAGGAGTTTTTCTCTGATATTTATTCTGAGGACTTGGTTGAGATAAAACTTACTATGACTGGGTCCCCATGGACTTTTTAACTCTCAGACTTGTCCATACTGAGCCTCCAGCAATTACTCAATTAAGTTTAGATTTTCCTCCCTTGGCATTTGTTCCTGTGGAGGTTTTACACATGGGTTTCTGGTTTGGTAAATTGCAATCTCTGTAGTCTCCTCTATCTCTGTTTTGGGGGATAGTCATTTGCCCTGTTACTTCACTCCTCTGATGGATCTAAGAAGAATTATTGATTTTTCAATTTGTTCAGTTTTTTCCTTGTTGTTAAAATAGAGTGGCGACTTCTAAATTAATCCCAGAACTGAAGTGATGTGTCTTAATTTTGACATTTACCTTTCCTTTGTAAGACCCATCAAGGCTACATTTTTTAAAAAACAGCTTTCATCAGAAGTATTGTGTGGGCAGTCATCAGTTCAAGACAATTAGCACTATATTTTATTATTATAGGGTTATTATCATTTACTGCTTTTCAAATAAAAGTAACTGAAGTTCTCTGGAAATACCTTAGCTATAATTGAGGTGAAGCATATGAAACATAATGAGGACTTTCATGTGTTGGAATCCTGTGTTCATTTACAAAAATGGGCTTGTATGCTTTCGTGTCCATCTCTTGCTGCCATAGCCAGCAGACCTAAAGTTTCTCATTGAGAAGCTTTATATACACATCGATTTAAAACGCCACTTTCATGGTAATAAGATGAAACACAAAATAATCTGGATATATGGTTTTACTACTTTATATTGATTGTTTAGCCTTAGTATCACAGGCAGAAGCACTGAAGGAAGAAATTGACAGCCTCCGTTGGCAACTCGATGCCTATAGGAATGAAGTCGAAGTGCTTAAACAAGAACAAGGCCAAGTCCACAGAGAAGATGACCCAAACAAGGAACAGCAGCTGAAACTCCTACAACAAGCCCTGCAAGGAATGCAACAGGTAAAGAAAAGCATTTTGGTTTTCTGAGCTTTTTGAAAGGATAGCATCAGCTCCTCACCTATAAAAGGGCCCCTGCAAATAGCAAATCTCTATTCTTCTTGATATCTAGTTCTCTAGCATAGCTGAGGAAGGGATTATGTGTTGTGGTTAACGAAATATTCTGATTAATACAGAGTTAGCAATGGATCACCAGTTTTCAAAGAATGAGCATTCAGTGAAAACTATTTAATAAAACTACACTGAACATAATCTAATCTTTATGTTTCAGAAGGTACTTTGGGATCTGGACAGGGCCTCAGAGTCCTTATGAAGAACCTTAATTACTTAGATATGAAAAAGTGCTGATGATTAAGTATCAAATTGATACAATGCTAAATAATACAGCCTTTTATAAAGAGTGCCAGGAATCCTACACTTGTGTAGGTGAAAGCAAGGATGTTATGGGTTTTCAAGTATCAATGCTTTGGGTACATAATATTAATTTGCTCTTCTGTTTTGTTTTCACAATCATTTAAGTGAATGAATTTACCTGCACATTACTCTAAGTATAAAAAGTAAATAATTGCATCTAACTGTAATTTAATTTAAATACAACATTGTATAGTAGATGCTCAATACCTAGAAGTTTCATGTAACCAGCACCACAGTGAGCCTACAATTTAATAGATATCTGTTCTAATTATAGTAAAAGAGTAGTACTTATGAGTAAGGGTACTATTCTCCTTTGTCTTGCCAGACTACCAGCCATTTTTCTTGCAACTCAAATTGTGCAATATTTTTTTTAATTGTATGCCTTTAAATTAACTACAGCAAAGCTTATTGCTTTTTGGAAATCACAAACTGTGAACAGGAATTTTCTTCTGGAAATAAGAGCTCCATATTCATATTACTTCACTATCATTGTCTTCCTATGTGACAAGCAATATCACATTAATATTTCACCTTTCTGATTAGCAAAATGTGTGAAATAATGATTACTTTTTATTGTCATCATGGAGTTTAATTAGATCATGTAAATTACATGAGAGTTTTTTTTCATTAAAAAATTGCATCTCCTCAGCTAGACTTCAAAGAATTTTGACAATGTCAAAATTGTACTGGGTCTTTTAGCCTTTCTTTTTGGGTCTTTTGCAAGCTTCTGGAAAGCAAGACTTCAGAAACATTTTCTTGTTGTTTCCCCTCTTACCTTGATTTTGAAACCATTCCACATAAGGACAGTTAAATGCTACTTAAATGCAATGATGAACTTTTTTTTTATTTCATCACTTCAAAGACCTAACAATTAGGTCTCTACCTCCTAAAAAATTAACTTCATTCAGTTTGATTACATTTAATTGGAAAATAGCTTTGTAAACAATAATAAAATTTCTTTCATATTATCCCCAAAAGATGTGTAGTCTAATATGATGATTAAGAGCATGCACTATGAGGTTGACCCAACATAGGTCAACCCAACTCTGCCACTCGGATTACCTTAAGCAAACCACTAAATCTCTCTAAGCCTCAGGATTATGTATCATAGGGTTATTGGGAATCTTAAATGAGACCATGCATATGAAAACCTTTGGCACATGCTAGATGCTAAATAAATAACATTTTTTTGTAATAATTAATTATGATGAATCCAGTTCCTTGCCTACTACTTGTATTTAACAAATTTCATAAACTAGGCTTGGAAAATGGCTATTTGCAAGGATGCTTTGCAACATTTAGTTCCATGCAACAATCAAGATATTGTCTATACAGTATTCACTGCACCCTGCCCTTACCCTGGCTGTAATAGGAAAGTTAAGTGATTAGATCAGTTTCTCAAACTCTTTCTAAAATATGAACAAATACAAAGGAAGTTCATAAAAGGTAAATAAAATAAGCTTAAGTGAAAAATATCTTGATTTTCCCTTTAGTATAACTACATGGAGAAATGATTGTGTAGGCTAGGGTAAAGTGAGACAGGCTAGCCTAATATCTAATTTCAGCCAGGGTGTTTAAGTGAAGTACAACTCCTTAAGACTTTATTATCTTTGACCTTTCCTGTAGCATCTACTCAAAGTCCAAGAGGAGTACAAAAGGAAAGAAGCTGAACTTGAAAAAATCAAAGATGACAAGATACAGGTGGAAAAAATGTTGGAAAATCTTAAAGAAAAGGTACATGAGTCCTAAGTGAACCTACTCTCTTGCCATGCCCCCATTTTCGGTGACAATCAAAATGCTCTGGAAGTTACTGCAATAAGAATCAATGTGGAATGTTTGGCTGATGGGGGATTAAAAGCCCCATATCCAGAGTAATTCTCGAATCAAGGGCTCTGTTTTTAAGTATAAGTCCTTGGCATTTCTAAGGGTTCTAGAGAGTGTACTTTTCAATTAATAAAATATCAGTACATCCCTAAAATTCCTGTCTTCCCTCTTGGAGAAGACCTGAGTGGACGCCTCATCCCTGTTTCATCTTGTCAAGAAAATAACATAGAAAACTGGTGTGACGAAGAGTACCTTTAATTAAACATTTCACTAAAGGAAGAGAGAAACACAAACACAACTAGAACACTGATATTTCTTTGCATACCCTCCATCTAGTGTAATCATGAGCACTTGCAGGTGAAATAGCCAAAACCGAAAGGAGGGAAATCTTGGAAAGCAAACAAGGAAATACAATATTTTAAGCTAGATGATAGCAAAAAGGAAAGCAAGATGGGACTACCTAAAGAGAAACTGCAGCAGTAAGAACCACCAGTGAGTACCTCTAAGAGAGTCTACTAACATCTGGATGGATTAATGTATCACAACCATAAATGGGATGCCCTGTCTATTTAAAGTATGCAAAGCCTACTGATGGTGTCTCCATTATACCTCTCTAATTTCTTTTAAGCCCGAATATTCAACTGAAAATTATCCCTTAGAAAGGAAGGCCTACTGATCAGAACTACCTATTTTTTAATTTTTCAATTAGAGTTGACATTCAATATTAGTTTCAGGTGTACAGCACAGCGGTTAGCTATTCATATAATTTACAAAGTGACCTCCCCAATTAGTCTAACACCCACCTGGCACTATACAAAGTTATCACAATATTGTTGACTATTTTCCCTATGCTTTACTTTACATCTCTGTAACTATTTTGTAACTACCAATTTGTACTTCTTAATCCATTCCCATTTTTCACTCAGCAGCCCAACTCCCCTCCCATCTGGCAATCACAGGTTTGTTCTCTATATCTATGAGTCTCTTTTCACTTTGTCTCTTTTGTTCTTTAGATTCTATATATAAATGAAATCATATTGTATTTCTCTGTGCGACTTATTTCACTTAGCATAATAATCTCTAGGTCAATCCATATCATTATAAATAGTAAGATTTCATTTTATTATGTATGAGTAATATTCCATTGTATATATGTACCACTTCTTCTTTATATAATCATCTATTGATGGACACTTAGTTTGCTTCCATAGCTTGGCTACTGTAAATAGCACTACAGTGAACATAAGGAGTACATATATCTTTTCAAATTAGTATTTTTGTTTTCTTCAGCTAGATACTCAGAAGTGGAATTATTGGGTCATAAGGTAGTTCTAGCTTTAATTTTTTAAGGAACCTTCACACTGTTTTCCATAGTGGCTGTACCAATTTGCAATTCCATCAACAGTGCATGAGGGTTCCCTTTTCTCCACATCCTTGCCAACACTTGTTTCCTGATTTACTGATGATAGCCATGCTGATAGGTGTGAAGTGATAGCTCATTGCGGTTTTAATTTGCATTTCTCAGGTGATTAGTGACATTCGGCATCTTTTCCTATGTCTATTAGCCATTCGTATGTCCTCTTTGGAGAAATGCCTATTCAGGTCTTCTGCACATTTTTTAATTGGATTATTTCTTTTATTGGTGTGGAGTTGTATTCTTTTTAATTTTTTTGGATATTGACTACTTATAAAATATATCATTGACAAATAACTTCTACTAATTAGTAGGTTGTCTTTTTGTTTTGTCGATGGTTGTTTCCTTTGCTTTGCAGACACTTTTTAGTTTGATGTAGTCCCATTTGTTTCTTTTTTCTTTTTATTTTTCCTTGCCTGAGGAGATATATCAGAAAAAAAATATTACTAAAAGCAATGTCAGAGAGTTTACTGCCTGTTTTCTTCTATGAGTTTTATGGTTTCAGTTCACACATTTAAGTCTTTAATCCATTTTTAGTTGATTCTTGTATATGGTGTAAGAAGGTTGTCCACTTTTCATTTTTTGCATGTGTCTGTCCAGTTTTCCCAACACCAGTTTTTAAGTAAGCTGTCTTTACCTCCATTGTATATTCTTGCCTCCTTCATCATAGATTGAATGACCATATAGGCATGATTTATTTCTGGGCTCTCTATTCTGTTCTATTGATCTATATGTCTCTTTTTATGTCAGTACCGTGCTGTTTTAATTATTATAGCTCTGTAGTATAGTTTGATATCAGATAGAGTGATATCTCCAATTTTATTCTTCTTTTCCAAGATTGCCATGGCTATTCAGGGTCTTTTATGGTTCCATATAAATTTTACAATTATTTGTTCTACAGAACTGCCTGGTTTTAATGTCTCAGAAGCAAGAGAAGATTAGGATCTTAGACTAAGAGCCAGAAGTCAACAATTCTACAGTTCCACAGGAGCTCATGCTCTTTATCTTCTGTGCTCAGCTCAGGAAGATGCAATGCATACAGGCTCTGCATGTGTTTGCCAGCATAGTGACTTACCCAAGGGTGCCATTAAGAACTGGCAACCTGGATGTAGTTGAAATAAATGATTGAAAGTGTTTTCTTCTGGAGACCACTTGCAATATGCTTTTAATTTTTCAACTTCAGAAAAACAACTCACTTTCCAGTTTTGTGAATGCCATTAAAAAAATTGCAGAGAAATTCATTTATCAAGCTTTTAATTGAAAAGTGCTAAAGTTGCTCTATTTAGCAGGACTTTCCTCATACTATCAGAGTTTCTAAAATATCCCGGAGCTGCTACATGGCTGTTTCACTTCTTACATCAAATGGAGCATAAACCCAGAAGACTATAGATAGACTTGGGATTATGCTAATGACATTATCCTTAGACTCACTCTTTAAGATTGCCATCACCAGTACCATGCCGTTTTGAATACTATAATATTATTTGTTCTAGTTATCTGAAAAATGCCATTGGTGTTTTGATAGAGATTGCAAGGAATCTATAATTTATTGCTTTTGGTAGTACGGACATTTTAACGATATTAATTCTTCTTATCCATGAACTAGTATATGCTTCCATTTATTTGTATCTTCTTCAATTTATTTCTTCAATGACTTACACTTTTCCAAGTACAAGTCTTTTACCTACTTGTTTAAAATTATTCCTGAGAATTTTACTGTTTTCGATGCAATTGTAAATGGGATTGTTTTCTTAATTTCTCTTTCTGCTAGTTCATTAGTGGTGTATAAAAATGCAAACGATTTCTGAATATTAATTTTGTATCCTGCTACTTCACTGAATTATTTTATCAGTTCTAACATATTTTTTGGTGGACTCTTTAGGGTTCTCTCTATACAGTATCATGTCATCTGCAAATAATGACGGTTTTACTTCTTCCTTTCCAATTTAGATGCTTTTTATTTCTTTTTCTTTTCTGATTGCTTTTGCTAGGACTTCTAATACAATGTTGAATAAAAGTGATGAAAGTGGACATCTTTTTCTTGTTCTAGATCATACGGAAAACACTTTTAACTTTTTATTGTTGAGTATATTAGCTGAGTGTTTTTCCTATATGTCCTTTATTATGTCAAAGTATGTTCCCTCTATTCCCATTTTACTAACTTTTTTATCAGAAGTGGATGCTGGATGTGTCAAATGCTTCTTTGCATCTATTAATAAGATCATACAATTTAAATCTTTTAATTTATTAATGCAGTGTATCACATTAATTGAATTGCATATATTGAACCAACCTTGTACCCCAAAGATAGATACCAGTTAATTACGGTGTATGATCTAAATGTCTAACTGAATTAATTTTGCTAATATTTTGTTGAGGAATTTTTCATCTATGTTCATCACGGATTTTAGGCTATAATTTTTCTTCATAATGTGTTTGCCTGGCTTTGGAATTAGAGTAATGGTGGCCTCATAAAATGAGGTTGGGAGCCTTCCAATATCTTGAATTTTTTCAAATAATTTGAAAACGATAGGAATTCATTCTTTTTTAAATGTTTAGTAAAATTCACCTGTGAAACCATTTGGTTCAGGAATTTTGTTTGTGAGTTTTTTTTAAATTAATTAATTTACTTTTCATGGTGACATTGGTTAACAAAATATGATAAGTTTCAGCTGTACACTTTAACAGTAGGCATATATATATTTACACTGTGTGTTCACCTCCCATAGTTAGATTTCTTTCTGTCAGCACACATATGACTCACTTTAACCCATCTGATTCCCCCCATGCCCCACCACCTACCCTCAGGTAAACTCTAGTCTATACTCTGTGCCCAAGAGTCTCTGTTTGTTTGTCCTGTTCATTTGTTGTTTTAGGTTAATATCCATATAAGCGATATCATGTGATTTTCAAGTTGTTCTGTCTGGCTTATTTCGCTTAGCAAGATTGTCTCAAGATCCATCCATATTGTCACAAAAGGCAGTATTTCATCTCTTCTTATGGCTAAGTAATATTCCATTGTATATATGTACCACAGCTTCTTTAGTCAATCATGTATCGTAGAACACTTCGGTTGCTTCCATGACCTGGCAACTGTGAATAATGTTGCTATGAACATCACTGTGCAAATATATTTTCAGATATGAGTTTTCAAGTCTTTGAGGTAAATACCCGGTAGAGGGATTGCTGGATCATATCGTAGATCAATTCTTAGTTTTATGAGGAAAGTCCATACTGTTTTCCATAGTGGCTGTACCAATTTGAAGTCCTGCGAGCAGTGTATGAGGGTTCCTATTTCTCAGCATCCTCTCCAGCATTTGTTATTACTTGTCCTGTTGATTATAGCTATTATAACAGGTGTGAGATGGTTATCTCATTGTGGTTTTGATTTGCATTTCCCTAATAGCTAGAGATGTTAAACATCTTTTCATATATTTGTTGGTCATTTGTGTGTCCTCTAGGGAGAGTGTCTGTTCAAGTCCTCTGCTCATTTTTT